AAAACCTTGTGGTGAACAATAACCTCGAAAATTTCGTAATGAACAGTGACCCGACTTTTTGGGAACTTGCACTTTAATAATTCTAATAATCTAATAATTTGTCGTACTTTTAAATTGGAAACCTATACATGCATTCACAATCAACTAATCCAATAAAGTATAATTTCCCATTAAAAAAAAAAGAATTTTACATGAAGAATGACAGAATTTGTCGAACTTTTGAAACTCTATGTTCAACTAAGAAATGAAAACTGACAAAATGAAATCCCGAAAGAAAGCTTTCCAAGCCATGATCCATCTTGAGGAATATATGAAAATTAGTAAAAGATTTTGATAATGCTTAGAAGCTTCAGTCTCCCTACCTACCATTACCAAAGTACCAACCTCATCACTTCCCCCTAATTTGTTCCAAATTTCTATTCTTATATAATTCACACTAGCTTTTTACCCGGCCCGTTGGCCGGAGAGTTTCATTTTATCGTTGATATTAATTCAATTTATCTCTATATTTAAACTATTTTTGACCTTCTAAATTTATTATATTTTGTATTGATAAGTGAGTATGTGGTGTGTCTATATATTGAAAATTCTCAATACTTGGCACATTCACTTATAATGTTTGACTTCTCTAATCATAAACCATGTCACAAAGGTATACCACGTCCCATGTACAATTTTTTCTATCTTATATGAATCCACGTTGTTCAGATGAGGACATTTTAGGTAGAGTTTCTTTGTACATATACTTCATTATTGGATGAATTTCTTCATCCCAATTAAAAGTTGACACTTTGGATGTTCATGTAGTTTACTGTAAGATCTTATTTGTATTTAGTCTCTTATACAATATGTATCAATTGCTAATTTCTGAAATTTAATTTGGACTAACTAAGACTCATTGTCGTTGTTTATATATTATTTTAGAATCTCAATCCAAGATACTCATATACGGATTTTGATCTTAATATGGTGCGTTAGTGTATAATTTTACAACTTGTAGAATCTTTGTTTTCTAAAATTCATTTATGTTTGGTATTTGTTTAGAAATAAAAATTTCATTACTTATACTAATATATGCATTTTTCTGTATGGCCACATTTATTGTCAATATATAGCATATATATTAAAAAGAGTTTAATTATTTTTAAGTGTAATTAATACTTGTTTTTTGCTTGTGCTATTTCCCATTGGCTTGCTGCTGCGGGGAAAGTTGACAGTGAAGTCATCAAGAACTGGCTTGCAGTGTTGAAAAGCAGATTGTTCCCCCCAGGATCGACAGCTGAGGATGGAGGGTCGTGGGCTGCTTGTGATCCTTTTTGCTGTTTGGGTTGGTGTTCTGCAGATCTCTCATTGGCGGCTGCCAGTGTTCCCCTCCTAGTGCATGTACCTGTTTTCTTCTTCGTCTGTTTTTTGGACCTTTTGTTTGTCGTCCGGGTAGCGTTTGTTTTGGCTTTCTTTTGTCCAGGACCTGTCGGCTTGTTTGACTTGCTGCTGATGTTGGCCTTTTTCTTCTTCTGAGTCTGTAGCGAGGAGGGGCTTGTTTTGTTGGTTTGTGTTTTGTCGTTTGGTTGGTCATCTCTACTGGGGTGTTTGTTTCCCTCCCCTTTATCTTGTTGCTGCACCTTTTACTTCCTTAATATTATATCACCCATATCAAAAAAAAATGTTAAGAAAATAAGGGGAAATATGAACAATTGTAAAAGAAAATAAGGGATGGAAGTACACATTATAAGTTATAAGTGAGAGAAAAGTTATTCTTACTTATCATCTTCATTTATCCAATGAGGTGATCTATTCTTGCTCCATTGAATTTTTATCAAATTATTTTATTCCGTAAATATATTATTAGTTATGCATGTGTTTTATTGCAAAAAAAAAACATGTGTTTGCTAAGAAATATCATACCGATGATCAACTTCTCTAATCTTGCCTCATTTTCATGTAAATATTCATGAAGTCTCCTAACGATCTTATGTTAACATATGTCTATCAAGAGAACCAAATTTAGTATAATATATAACAAAGTAAATACATTTTATTAACCAAATCTTTCAAAAAAATTCAAAATACAAAGTATTAGCCAAACGTTAACTCCCCGTTAGCATTTTTATTAGTAATGTTGACTCAACAACATGATGATGAGTTGGAAGAGACACGTGACGGTCTATAATCCAATTTAGTATTTTAATTAAAAAAGAGTTATAAAATTATTAATGATAACAAAAAAATGGTTAATATTTTGACGTGATACAAAATATTTGGCTAATCATTTGTAGTTCGAAAGATTTGGCTAATAATTTAAAAAAACTGAAAGGTTTAGCTATTTAAATATTATTTACTCTATATGTATCAATTGCTAAGTTGTCTCCTCCCACATTTTGTCACGACCGCTACTGAAGTTCTATAACAGATCTGCTCTGTCCAATCCTCACCTTTGTCCACCAATTCACGGCCCATATAGTAACATCGCCAGCTGAATTTTAAATTGTCTTCCTGCACCATTTCTCACATGCGCCACCAAATTGTTGACATAGTTAGTTTCGTCTACCCGGGTATCTCCACTCTCTATTGCATTTAACACCCGTTATTTGGTTTGCTTTCCTTCACTCAAAATTTCTTCTCCTAACGGAAAATCAAAAGGTAATGGCCTAACACCTACTTAGCATATGACATAAACTGAAAATTTACTTAATAAGATTTATTCAGATATTTTTGTTTAAACAATCGCGATACATGTCAGCCTCCAAACATTAGTATACTGCTGCTACACATATATACTACAAAATGTACAAATGAATTATTAAATAAAAACAAAAGGAAACATTAAATGAAGATAGAGATAACTACATAAATTGAGCATTAACTTACTTTTGTGTTTGTAAAAAAAGTGTCAACCATGATAATTTGTAAATTCTTCAAGTGCTTATGTGGTAACAAAGTATTGTTGAATTGCCATAGATAGATAGATAGATAGATAGATAGATAGATTTTAGACCTTTATTTGATTAATGCATAGGTCAGTGGTTGATGAACACATGATGTTTAACATACAGTTTAGCAAAGATTCAGCTAACTTTCACATGTATCATTTTTTAATGTATCTCGTGTCTCATCTTAAGAAATGAAGTCAAGTTCATAAACAATCATACCGAAGTCATTTTAAAAATTTTTGATTTATAATCCTTGAAAATTTATTACTCCAAGTTTGAAAATTAAATTTCTTAACATATGACGTAAAACTTCAGTAGAGTTTGCTAAATTAACACGATCTAGAGCAAAAATGCAAAATATTAGTAATTTGAACCTAGGATACATTGTAAATTATTGCACCTATGATTCATATGTCTTCACTTAATTAGAATGAATAAGGTTTTTGTTTAAGAAATAGATTTTATTGTTTGGTCAAGTTTCTATTCAAACGTTTCTTGTTTTCTCTCTTTAGTTTCCATCTTTATTTTGTCGCTATAAAATGTTATTATGTATGTGTGTTTGTATAAATTGTTCATTAAAATGTAACATATTTGTAAATTATTGTAAAAGTGAGTTAAAATTTTACTTAGTAAGCTTTAATACGATATTTTTTTGGTTGAGAAAAAAGTTATATGTGTGACTCAAAGACATTAGTCTATTGTTGCGTACATCGATACAATACAAAAGTAAAAACAAAAACATAAAGGAAGTATTGGAAAAGAAAAATAAATATTAAAAAAGTTAGAGATAACAAATGTAATATATGTCACTTTTCCTACATTATTTATTATTGTGTACATTGATATAATACAAAAAAAGGATAAAAGAGAAATGAAATATTAAATGACGAGAGAGATAGCTCCATAAATATATCAATAACTATTTTTCTTTTTGTAAAAATATTGTCCACCTTGGCAATTTGTGAACTCTCCAAGTGCTTAGGTGGCAAACAATTACTTTTGAATTGCCATAATATTATGTATAGATTTGAACTCTGAACTTGGACTACTAGGTAATGTCGATCCAAATGAGAATCTGATGGGCCCATGGCCCAAATGAAAATAATTATTTGTTCTCACCTGCACCATAACTTGGACGGTTGCTTATGAACTTACTCGATCCACAGAACATTCTGCTGGTGCGTTTGGCTTCATGCTGAATTATTGTTCTACTACAAGTGGTGCACTAATTAGTAATCCACAAAACTATCTTTTGTCAGAAAATGTAGGATGGGAGAAAACTAGAGACCAAAAACCGTATCTTTACAAGAAGCCTGGAAACACTCTGGGCTGTTGGTTTGTTTGTTTGGTTAGGTGATATCAGAAAGATGGGAGGTTGTAGGGCAAAGTCAAAGTTGTTCTTCGTTCAGAATCTAGCTTAGGGGAAAATGCATTTTGGTTCTATTAAATGCTTTCATCAGGGTGTGCTTGACAAATACTATAGATTGCTTAAGAGGGAGGGAGGGGTGACCTACAAAGTAATGGTGTGTCCACATTTTCTACTCAATTTAAGTCTTTGAAAACGAGGTGAGACTCAATGCTACCCACAAAGCAACGCAAGTCAATGTATAACAATGTGTTATTCAACATATAGATTTACAAGAAAATCTAAGGCATCGGGGACTCCTTATACGAAAAGACGATTTTGAAATGACGAGGACATTGATTTAGAGTGGGGAGGATGAGAATAGAATATTCTTAACTTTTTTGAAGTTGCGATTGCTTTGTTGAGATTGTTGACTATATACATGTATCGTTTTTCTGATTTTTTTGGCGGAAACAATAAATGGATTAATTGTTTCTGTGATGTGACAGAAACTATCAGTCAAAATGGGTGATTATTATATTTCAACTTTAGTTGAGATTGTTGAGTTGAGATTGTTTTGTCTCGGCTTTTAACTAATGTGACATACACAATCATACATACCGAACGTTGTATTCTATAATGCATCAAACTTTGATAATACATGTATAATATTATACATGCATTCACAACAATACATCTATTTAACAATCTCAACTTCCAAACGGCTCTTAGCTTACTTGCTCTTGAAGCTGGTGTTGACTTTACCTGTTGCAATTGCAAGCTGCGAAAGAGCATTTTCAGTTATGAAGATAATCAAGAATGAATTTGGAATTGGTTGAGTGAAAGAGCATTTTCAACTAGTAATTTCTATTTAATTTTTAATTATTTATTATATTCGGCGACACACCTTTTCGATAATTCTGGGTCTGCTACTGGACAGAAGGAACAATATTTAGTTACGATATGAGTAGGAGGGTTTTATACGGCTCATACACATTTCAGTTCATGCTTCATTTCAGAATAAATAGCTTCATTTATATTTAATCATTCTTATTTTTACGAGAATTGAAATACACCTACGAAAATAGAAACCATATATTATTTTACGGGTCGTTTGCTTCATGGATTTGAAAAATGAGGATTTTGGTAAAACTTGGGTTTTGGAAAACCATGAATATATGAAGGATTTGATGGCATTATGGATTTGAACAAGTCTATTGTTTGCTTGTTGGATTTGATTATGGATTTTGCTTGAATAGATTTGTGGATATGAAATACAAATTACCTTGTTACCCTTATCTAATTATATTTCTATATTATAATCCAAAATTTTCATTAAAAAAATCCAACGCATACAATGAAATTTTAAACACTTTACCACATGTGGACTAATAATTAAACCATAAATATAGAAATGTATTACAATTTGGCACTAATTAACAACTCATATAATAATGTATGCAATATTATGTATCAATTGCAACCAATTGCTCGCTTTATTGCTACAACTCATCATCTTCTTGCTTACTCCCCGATTTTGCAATCCGACAATCAATCAAATAATATGCACAAGATGAGCATAAGATGTTTATAGTTGAATCTAACAAATCACATATACATTCATATTTAAATAAACTACGATATTACAAAACGAAATGATAGATTCTCATATATATAAAATACGACATTATAAAATTTTATAGTTACATGACCATTGAATTAAAGTATGACAACTTTGTAATTAAAGTAATAAGTAAGGGTAGAAAGGTAATTTACTATCATGGATTTTAATCCGTCACCCAAATCCCACCTCAAGAGGTGGAACATCCAAGTCCGTGTGGTCCACGGATTTGGAACCCCAAAAGAGGCGGGACCCACAGATTCCATCTCCCTAATTCCCTAAGACAAACGATGGATTTCTATTAAAGTTCATGATGGATAGATTTCCATGACCAAATCCATCATCAAAACCCTCAAGCAAACGACCCGTTATTTTATTTTTTGTTATTTACATTGTCTTAACAAATTACCCCGATAAAACATTACTCGCATAATAATAACAATGATGATGGTGATAATCTATTTAATGGCATGACATGATAGGAGGTAGGGGTGATAAACGGTTAGTCGGTTATCGGTTTTAACTGATAACCGAACCGATAAAGTCGGTTAGTGGTTAACCGATAACCGCTACTTCCTTATTGGTTTCGGTTTCGGTTAGTAGTATTTTGGTTAGTGGTTAACCGCTAACCGACTAATCGGTTAGCGGTTAACCGATAAGAAAACCGATAACCGCCTACTAGTGTGACTACATGGTTTTTTACTTTGGCTAAGGAAAAAAGTTGTAAGATTCAAAACCAATCAAAGTCGCAATTCCAAACATCCCAATTCTCACCTATTGCAAACAACCCTCCATCAAGAGTCTCGAATGTTTTTAAGAGTTAGAACTCGAAAGTCACCCCTCTCTAACTCCCCTTTGCACTCGATAGAGTGAACCTTAGGTTGATGACTATGGGCTAGATGAAGATCTTGGAGTAACTGATGACTATGGGCTAGATGAATTGGAGTGAGATCCTCGGATCATTTAGGTTGATGATTTGGAGATAATGAACTTGTTATTTGTGTATAGTTGTGATTGTGACTTGTGGTTGAATTGTGGGCATGTAGACTTTATGTTGTGGAGTTGTGGTTGAATTGTGTGGTTGCTTTAGGCTTTATGCTCAATTGATTTGGATGACTTTATGGTGTGTGATTATAGAGGCTGAAACAAAAGCAGGTCACTCAAAATTGAGGGTGAATCATTAAAAAAGGTGGTTGAAATTCGGTTTTGGGTGTCGGTTTCTGAACGAAAACCGAGAAAGTGAACCAGAACCTGCGTTTTGGTTTACCGCAATGGAAAACCGAAACCGATGTTTGCGGTTTTCGGTTAACCGAAGTCTCTGTCGGTTTCGGTTTCGGTTAGCGATCTCGGGACAATTTTGATTGCGGTTAACCGATATTTCGGTGCGGTTAAACCGAAACCGCACCGACTAACACCCCTAATAGGAGGCTATAGGGTTCCTCAACTATCAAGAAATAAAAAAAGACGATGATTTACTAACATGCACATGGTGATCATGATGACATATATATCTCATTTAGTCTGGACTTGGAGGTGCATTGGAATCAGAACCCTCAAGCTCGAATTCATCTTCCCATTGGATACCAAGCGGGGTGGAATTCAAACTCTGGTGTCTCTTTCTTTTCACCCCCATCGGCTTTTGTAAAGACGAGAAAAGACACATCCTTTTGTGGGTAAGGTAATGCAAGGCAGGCCAAAAGAAAGAGGATTTATATAGCAAGAATGGAACAGAGCCTGCAGATAAAGCAATTAGAGTGTGCTCTATCTACTTATGTGGCGTGATGAACAGAGAGAAACAACAAAACAGAAACACGCGAGACCCACTCTATCATTGCGTGCGTGCCTGCCTGTTTAGGCAGGGGAATCGAGCACCACTTTTGCCAAAAACGGAACAAAGAGAAAACTATAAGGCTGCTATTGCTATACCTTCACCTGCAAGCATGGCAGAACCGCAGTGCATCTCATATGGGCGAAATTCTCTTCCGCTGGCTGCGAGAGGTAGAGATGGAGCGCGGAGGTGGCGGGCAGACCAAAGCTTAGTGACCACTGCTTTTGGAGATTAAACCAAGGAGATAAACCGGCCGGTGAGGCCAGGATTTTGACATCAGCGTGGCAAAAAATCGAGAGTCGAATTATTTCATAACAACGTTTGTTGTTCGCATAATTGTTGATTTGACAGTAATTTTAAATTGAATCTAATTCTGAAGATCGTTAATAGCATCAATCAACCCCAAAGTTCCACTTTTCTATTTTCCGCCATAATGCGTGTGTTACAAGTTATAACCGTTGTGACGAGTTACGAGTTATGATCGTTGTGACCCATAGCAACAGTTGGTGATCTAAAATGACTTATAACAATACCTTGGGCTTGTTTGTAATGTTTTAAGAGTTCAGGTACTATAATGCAAGGTGAAATATATAAAGGTACAAAAATATAACTTTAGCACAAAAGATTCACGACCTTTTTGTAAGAAAGTAAAATTTAGGTACTTGTAACAAAAAAAAATTGGATACGAAAATGTAGATTAAAAAAAAATTAGTGTGTTGATTTGAGTCGACTCACTAACTCGTCTCGCCCTGACCCTAGAGGTTTAGAGAGAGTCAGGAGAGAAACAGACAACTCAGTTATATAAGTTGACTCTTGAGGAGCGACTCTGGGAGGTCAAGCAAATTTTCAGCCCTAACATAAACAACCTAAAACTGTTTAAAAGAATAATCATGCATGGTTTTGTGTGGGAATTTTGTCCAAAATGTGAACAACATATAGAATACAATCCCTAGAAAATCTCAAGGGTAAATAGGATTGAAATCTCAAAAGTTCTTCCAATATTTAGAAAATCTTAGATGTTCTCTAAGTTTAGAGACATGACACCTAGAAATACACTTGCCACTCATAGTTTCTCCTTTACTTTTATAAGCAAAAAGATACATAATTTAAATAATTCGTGTTGTTTTGTATTTATGTTGATAAAAAGAAGTCGGCAAAAAAGAAGAGTACATTCAGGGGGTCCGAGAATTTGATCTGCCAATTCAAAGTCAATGAACACATACGTTGAAACAAGGAAACACGAGATGGAATTCACTTTAACGGACAAGAGTAAGAATTTTCCATTGAAGAAGAAAGGGAGGGATGGAGAATGTGATCCTTATCCAAGCTTTTTCTTCTCTCCCCTGCCTTCCATCCATCTTATCCATGTCCGTTACATCTTCTTTGTTGCATCCATCCGTTTTATTTGGCTCCCAAACAAACAAGAACCTACCAAAGACACAACAAAGACAAAAAGAAAATGGAATGAGACAATTCTAAGGCCAAGGCTGGCTGGCTAGCTAGTGACGTTTTGCCTTTTTCTTCAAGAAAGCCATTTTATCAACCGGCCGTTACTTAACGGTGCTGGACCATTACACAGAAAGATGAAGGCCCATCCCCCATTCCACCTTGTGACGTCTCAGTCTATCATCCAAAGCCAATCACATCCCGCCACATCATCCAACCGGTTCAATACCCACTCACCTCTCTATAATCAAACACAACATCTCTCTAATGGTAGTCATTAAACCCCATAAATTAGATCATGACTCTTTGTCCATTTTGGTCCATATGTGATAATAACTAATAATTGAATTTCAATGTCTTCAATTTCAAGGAAATACAAAAAACAAAAATGGTAACGGGCACAAGGGTGATTGGGTATAATTGCCTGAGAGAGGGTGACTCGAGAACCTCCTCAGATAATTATGCAACCTTGAAACCGATGTACAACAAGATCTACCGGACGATTTTGTAGCCATTTTGGTTATAAGATTGATAGGGGTTGAAAATATGACTATACGAGCATATATTTTTCCGATCATTTTATGTAGTTTCGACGGTTGAATTAAAAGAATATTATCATTTATGTAAATTAATTATACTACTGAATTTATTCACTGATTGAACATTGTATAAGGAGACAATTGGATGTGTATTTATCAACATACCTCCATGGAGCTATTGCCTTATCAGTACTTAGATTTTTGTTTCATTAGATAACTTGTCCAACACATAAGTCACCCCTAAAAAATAACCAGTAATTTTAATTTTCTACTAAATACCTCATTCGATGTAGCTAGCTCCATAAATCAAGTAAGTGAGTTTCTCCAATCACAAAGATATTACCCAGGAATCAAATAATAATTTTGAGTTTAACAGGTGTATTGCAACTTAAAAAGTGATTAGGTTACACCACTTTGTGGGAACACAAGGATTATTCTCGAAAGAGGTGCACATATTTTTATTACAAAACACAAAATTGACGGTCTAGCTACAATCACAAATTGATTCTATGACTATAAGTATAAGAGAATGTGATGGTTTGGTAAGGAAATATTTTCAATGTTAAAAGTGAATGGCCAAAAGTTATGAGTTAATAATTGCACTAAGGGTGAAGAATCATAAGAATTTAAGTGAAATGCCATATATCTTTGGCTAATGAGTCAAATATCATTGTCTTATCTTTAAATTAAACAACCAATGATGCATTTATATAAGGAATTCTACGATACCCTTTATGAATTTAGGGTTACTGCATATCATTAACAAATCAATGTTAGCTAGACCATGAATTAATAAATAAGAATTTAAGATACTATACCTTGACTGGAGTGGCCAAACCATATGTTCCAATTCTCTAAACCGTAATGTGGTGTATATGGTATGTTGGATGTATCTCGGCAAATAAGAACCATTGTTCTTGTGTATATTTGATTTTTGGATTTAACATTTGGAGAGTTAGTGTCTAGGATTTACTCATTTGAAACCATAAAAAAAAAACTTTTTGCACTCATTTGATTAAGGGGGGTTTAAGATTCACTCATCCGAGACTCGGGATTTAAGGTATTAGGATCTAGGATTACACAGTGATCAAGTATCTTCAATAAGAAAACCTCTAAACGTTCTAAGCCAATTAACAACAATCATTGTTTTAGGGTTAAATTTAGCGTTAAAAATGATAGATTGATGCATATTATGAGATAACAAACTGGATATCTTGTTACCATGAACATTTCTAAAACCTAAATTAGAACAATTTAAACACAAATCAATTGATTAACATAAATAATAACCCAAACTTCAATCTTGCAAGAGGATGAGCACAAAGCTAATATTATCTTTTGTAAAAAAAAAAAAAAAGAGCACAAAGCTAATAAACAAGAAACTAACAATAGAAAAAAAAAGCTAAATTACACGTTTGGTCACTCAAATTATACAAATCTTTCACGTTTGCCACCCGAATTACTTTTCTTTCTTATTCGCCACTAATTTTACGAATCGTTTCACGGTTGGTCACCGGCCGTTACACTCCGTTAAGTTTGTCCTACGTGTCAGTCAACTATAAAGTTTGACCGTTAACTAGATGACGTGGAAATTAAAAAAAATAAATTTTTTTTTTTCTTTCCACCTCATCATTGCATTTATTTTGTCTATATAATTTATCATATAATTTAATAAATTACAGCGTGGATTTTGTTCTTAGCCGTCAAGAGACAGTTCCAGCAGTCGTACTCTCCCAGGTCTTCGAAGCAAACCGCGCCGCCTGTCGGGGAGCCTGGGTTGCGATTCGGCATGCTGTGCGTGAACGATGGGTCGTTGTTCCTGTTTCTGTATCCGTACCTCGTCTGATCCACCAACGTATCCACGAGGCGCGCCACGTTGTGGTTGTAGAACTTGCTCTCGGATTTCCCCATGCAGTCTGGTCCCTTCATGATTGTCATGTCTGGGAATTTGCCGTGGGCAAGGCTCGAAACCATACCCAGAACAACGATAGAAGCTACTGCAAATTTCGACCTGTACGTAATTCATATCTTCTTCTTCTTCTTGTGTGTTTTGGGTGAGCAATCGTTGTAACCTGCGGACTTTGGTTTTTATAGCTCAGTGTTTATTCCTTGCCATTGGAGATACGTTCCTTTTTGTGTACTGTATATAGAGTTTGAAGTCACTAAAATAGCATGTCTATCCATATCATTTGATGGAGAGACTCCTTCCTTAATCTATAAATACACGTACAACTTGAATCCAATAACAGATCGATCAATCAATCAATCCCCGCTATCAGAGATACTACTGAAGCTCAAGTTGAATCCATCCAATAACAACGAAGATCAACATCCTCATGACGACGACTCCATCAACGGCCGTCCTCATCATCGCGACGCTGCTGCTCATCTTTAGTGACGGCATTTTCGTCGTCGTCGTCCCCAACAGCGCCTACAACACAGACAAGATCGACGGCGACTGTGGCGTGCTGCTTGGTTCCCTCGACATCAGCAACAAGGTCAGAACCCTAGCACTGAAATCCATGGACGCCGCAATTGGTTTAACAGCCAACGACAACCCCAATACCTGCGCACGTGCTGACTGTTGCTGGCGATATCTTGGTCTTCACCGCCGCCAACTGTTCCGATCGGATATCTAACGACGAATGCAAGCTCTGTCTCTACAACACGCAGTTCCGGGTCGTCGACCAGTGCGTTGGTAAGGTCGGAGGTTGGCTCGCGCTTGTAGATTGTTTCGTGAGTTATAGCCGCGATCCATTCGTCCTCTGTTAACCATTTTTGTAATTTATTAAATTATTAATATGATAAATTATATAGACAAAATAAGTGCAATGATGAGGTGGAAAGAAAATTTTATTTTGTTATTTTTTTTTTAATTTTCACATCATCTAGTTAACGGTCAAACTTTATAGTTGACTGCCACGTAGGACAAACTTAACGGAGTTTAACGGCCAGTGACCAACCGTGAAACAATTCGTAAAGTTGGTGGCGAATAAGAAAGAAAAGTAATTCGGATGACAAACGTGAAAGATTTGTATAATTTGAGTGACCAAACGTGTAATTTAGCCGGGAAAAAAAACACTGCGGAAAGTGAGAGAAAAATCAAAGGGGCGGGTGGTGGGCCTATAAAGACCCGGCCCCTAATTCTCCCCCTTTACTTTCGCTTCCTTTCTTCCTATTTCCTTTCCGCCTCCTTCCTTCCTCTTCCACATTTCTCAATTCTCACAACCCAAACAAGCAGCAAATCGAGATAAAGAAGAAAGGAATGGGGAATTGCCAAGCCGTTGACGCGGCGACGCTGGTGATTCAGCATCCCACCGGCAAAGTGGAGAAGCTCTACTGGCCCATTACCGCCGCCGAAGTAATGAAGACAAACCCCGGCCACTACGTCGCTCTCCTCCTCTCCACCACCCTCTACCCTCCTACTTCCTCCTCCGCCACCAATGCTACCAAATCCGCCGGCGGCAGCGGCGGGCCGGTGAGGCTGACGAGGATTAAGCTCCTCCGTCCCACGGACACCCTCACCCTCGGCCACGTATACCGGCTCATCACCAATCAAGGTATTTTACATTCTCGACCCCTGCATATTCCCCTGTTTCTTTGCTTTACATCGTTTCCCGATGCTTATTTTGGTGCTTAAAACCCAATCCGCAGAGGTGATGAAAGGATTGTTGGCGAAGAAGCAAGCGAAGCTCAATCAAAACAATCCCCAATCAGCTGAAGATCAGCAATCGGCGTCCAAATCGGAGGACCGGAGAAAACAGAGCAGCTCTGTTTTGCCGACGACGATATCGGAAACGGACGAATCCAGAAGACGGAGAAGATCTCACGGGGGCAGCCACCCGGTAATTATATTACAACCCATTATCTTAAAACCAAAAAAAGATCAAATCTTTTGGGCTAAAGATTGTTGCTTTTGCTTAATGCTTAGTTCACTTCTCTCTCTCTGTCTCTGTCTCTCTCTGTTCCATTTCTGGGTTACGTTTTTCTAGTCTCTCCCACCAACTACTTAACATCATTGTTCCTCCCGGAGACTGATGAAATGTACGCTAATTCCATTCTCAGGTGACGAGAAACGAAAGGAACAGAGGATCATCATCGTCGTCATCGTCATCATCATCATCATCATTGTCAGCAGGTGGAGCAGGGAGCGGGAGCGGGAGATCATCTAGAACATGGCAGCCATCACTGAACAGCATCTTGGAATCAGCTGGCAGCAGCAGCAGCAGCAGCATCTAATTTCATACTTCAATTATATTGTCTCCTCCTCTCTAGAGCTTAGTGATGATGCCTTTTTTCTCTCTAGAGCTTTAGTGGGCAGTGGTTCTTCGTGCCGACACCAACATCACAGCATATGAAACCCAGCTGGCTCTGCCCAAACCGTCCAATTCATCATCACACCCCCTCAAAAACCTCAAGAATATAACGGCAATTTTTGCTTTTAATTAATCCCACCTTCCTGAATTTTGAGATACCGTTTCTTTTTCTCTCTTTAAAGAAAAGGAACCGTACGGATACCTGTATAGCAAAGAAATTGAAGAGGGGGAAAAGGGAGAGAAAAAACAGAGAGGATGAGTGCGTTGTCTTCGTCGTGGTGGTGGAGGGTTTTTCTTTTTCTTTCTCTTTTTGTGAGATCGATGTAGTGAAATGAATAACATCCATTTGTAGTTTATGGCGCTGTTCGTTGGAGAAATTGTGAAATGAATAAGAAAAATGCCAGCCAGCCAGCAAGTTTTCTGACTCCAGATTTACAGTTTCTGTGAGCTGTGTGTGTGTCTCGACTCGCTCCAGGACTCAGATATCTCTCTCTGTGTGCTTTAATGTATTGTTATGTTTTTTTGCTTGCAAACAGAGGTTAAAATATTGGACGAGGGTAATCATTAATTAATATATATAAGCATGCATTAATTACATATAATTATGCACCCACACATGTGAGGATTAGAATAATACCAGATTTGCAGTGTACTGCAATGCTGCAACCTTGTTTTTAATTACCCTAAACTGACTCAGCGCTTACTCTGAAAGTCACCTTGCAGTAGGGGGCTGAAGCTGAATAAATGACAGTCGAGAATCGATTGTTACTAACAATTCGAATTAATGGAAAAAGCGAGTGACAATGTAATGAATATATGTGAACTTTCATTTTTGGAGGGAAGCAAAAGAGTGACATAAAATTTTGTATTTCGAATCACCTCTGGAAAAACTCGAACACTCTTGTTCTCGACAATCGCGAGAGGCAAGCATATATGGATATATTTCATAGATTTTTACTAGTTACGGACCTGGTCAGCTGGCCGGATTCATTCGCCAATCGCGTAAACAACCGTAGTAATTTGTATGCGAGATAAGCATTTATATGATACTATAAGAAAATCATTATTTTTCTAATTACCTGGAACCTTAATTTGGATCTGAGTTAAGAAAAGGGGGGAAAAAGGAAGAGTTGAATATATAATAGAGTTGGGTTGGATTCCCAATCGTACGTGTGCACTGAGAAGACATTGGAAGCCTAGCACTCCCCCTTAATTAAGATTATCTTTTTATTTCATTCCCCGCTTTATTTTTTTCCTCATATATTTAAGCGAAGGAAGAAATTAATTGCAGGCCTTGGCAATGGAACAGTTTGGGACGTAGGAATATCCTGGAAAACAAAGGAGAAGAGGAAAATTTTTTAGTGAAGAGAATAGTTATGTAGAATTTACTTTACATATCATAAAATTTCATTCATCCTACATGAATTAACATATTTAGATTTTATATATATGTGCTTGTTATTCGATAAATGCTTCATTTCAGTTGGACTAGACTGTCCGACAGGTCCATACTTATCGAATGACAAATCCGTTGCACTATATCTTATCGTTCATGAAGATCACAAAATTCTTATAAAAGAAATTTACATTATAGATAGTTGTTAAAACTCTATCGGCCGGCCAGTTGGACTTCATCCGACCAAAATCGACACCGTTTACATATCGAAATAACAAGTTTGTGAGATCGAGCATGATGATTAGTGATTATATTTAGTTCAAATGTTGACCTAGAGATGGAGAAAAACTTCAACATGCGGCAGCCGAAATGATGGTTATGATTAGCATTAAAAGAAGCAATTGGTGGCAGAATCTTTGCTTTTTCCTCTCTTATTCATCATCATCATTCCACTAATTCCATTCCTCCCTATCTATTTTCTTCTTAGTGTCACTACCTGGCCTCTTGGCATGCAAGTAGAAAAAAAGGAAGTAGTTTTCACCTAAAAAAAGAAAAAGGATCTAGTAGAGGCCCTTCTTTTCTTACTAGTGTCCTATATATACTATGGATGGATAAGTAAGTTGGACCAGGAATGGCTATATTTAGGTCCGGAGCAGTCTTGATATTTATATACGTCCTGTGATAGATTTGTTCATTTATTTCATGGGACGTGGATTGGGACAGGTCGACCTATATCAATATGTAGTTTAAAATGCAAATATTACAACTATTCATTTGTTTCATTAGTACCAAGAAAAAATTATAATATGATATATGTAATTAAATTATTTGAAAAATAGATTCTCGCTTATTTACAACTTAATTATAACTAAAATAGGAGGTAATAAATGTAAATTTCAAATAATTTGAGGAAAATTATATGTAATTTGAACAAAAAAAAGTGTCGAAAATAAGGACAGGTCAGAGCAGGTGAGACTGAGGAGATTACTCATACTCACCCTTCTTCAAAATAGACCAAACAAATCGAGTAAAATGGTTGAGATCGAAATTATCATCCCAAAGCAGGACAACTACCACCAACTCACTAAACATTCTCCTCATAACTTAACGGCCATGGAAACCAGCTAGCTCGCTCATCATTGTACTCCAAATTTATTTCCATTAATTTCTCCCTCTTAATCTTTTGGAATTTGGGTTCACTACTTGGGATTTCTGGCTTCGCCCCCAAGAAGAGCTATCATCGTTGCTTGGACCCTTATATGAACCTAAACTCAGAGATCCCCGAACGCGCCATAAATCAGTCATTAAGATAAACTAGAATCAGAAGGATAGATAACTTAAGAATGTGGTTGAGATTCATACATGAACATCTCCCAACGATCCAAGTAAATTATCCGGATTAGTTGATTTATGACACGGTATAAGAACTGGCTTGATCTTCAGATCACGGGTTCAAGTACTCAAAACCCCAACATTAACAATTGTCTTAAAAGTTAAAAACACATGGTACGACGGACCTATGCAAACTTCGAATCAATGAGTTGGTTTTTGTTGAATGAAGCATATAAAGAAAATTTATTAATATTTACATACATGAACCTCTGTCAACAAATTGGAGTTATTCAAACCAGCGGGTTCAAACCATATAACACGTGAACATAGAATTATGATTTTGGAGCATCAAGAATGTTTTTGGAGAACCACAGCCCCAACATACTTCTTATTGCCTTGCCCACCACCAACATACGTTTTGTGATAATGGAAGGTGAAGAGGAAATTCTTTCGTCTCTTGGTGGGGCCTTTTCTCTCCCAATTTGTTGTCCCATCACCCAATTTATTAGTTTCTAATAAATGGTCCCCTAGAAAATGAAGGAAGGAAGGAATAGTGGGCATCGATACAAAAATTTGTCTCTACTAAGAGCCAGCCAACCAGCAATTAATGATTGAAATGGATATCAGAATCGGATCCGCCAAAGAACATTTATATGGGGAATGAGTTGTGGGAGCAATGTACATGGCTAGTAGGCCATAACCATCCATCCTCCCATTCATTCATTCATTCATTCATGAGTTTCCAAGAAGTACTATAGGAATGCTTAATAATTTAAGCATCATAATAATTATTATGATGATGATATTAATAATGACCTTCATGTTTCATGAATTAATGGAGGAATGGTATTTAAGCTACTGAGGAAGATCTAATAATTGTTCATTCTAATCAAGACTTATAGCCTAGAGTTTGAGGCACAAGAGTGGAGCTAGTACTAGTTTAATAATTTGACTTAAGGTGGTACAATATGTTAACAGATTAGGTTGAGTTTTTTTTATTGTTTTTTTCTTTTATAATTTGTTATTATTTTTCAATGATGTCAGCTTACTACTTCTCTTTATATTTATTTATTATCCAAATTTTATCTTATAAGAAGACTTGTTTAGAACCAGTTGTTCCCAATAACTCGAGTTGTTGGAAGAGGTTGAACAATGAATTTTATACCACATACTAAACACACTCTCAAACAAAATTATTTTCATATGGGTTTGAAGTTTGCAGGCATCATATATTCGAACCAAAGACTTTTCTATCACAGAAGGCTCTGATACCATGTAAAGACCTATTGGTCTCAATAAGTCGAGTTGTTGACAGAGATTCAATAATGGATCTTATACCACATTCTAACAGGACTATCACATTTTTGTGTGGGTTTGACAATGATCAAGAAAAATGTCAAAAAATAAAAGTCGATTGAAGATCATCTTTATGATCATCTGATCTTTGATTGCTTAACATTTTCAACTTTAGAAGTTAGCACATGATTTAAAGATTTTTCGTTCATTTTTTTTCTTTCAAACATATAAATGTTACATTTTGTCAATTTCATTAATAAAGTGTGGTGGCGAACACGCTGCCTATATGTCAGTCTTAATCCATTTGAATTTTATCGTGGTACAGAGAGTCAAATGTTGTGAGCATGAAACATTTCTTTCAACTTAGTAAGAACAACTTCCTATAGAGAATTGGAATGATCATCCATAATGATTGGATTTTAGCCTATTAACTTATTTCTCCATTTGATGAATGTATAACTCTAAAAACCTCAGATGTGAATATTTTGCTAGAAACATAATGCTCAGTCAATAAAACTTCCCCTCAACCAGTGGCGTAGCCAGACTTTGAGTTCACTGAGATCCTTAAGAATTTAATAACACAAAAGTTTGTGTGTCTAATAAATTTTGAGTTTATTGGGGTCCCAATCTTAACCCCATACAAATGACACTTCTTTCCTAGAGACGAATCACGCAGCAAAAGCTATATTTTCCAACTCAAAAGTTGGGTGATTTTCCCTAGATCAATAACACGCAACTACTTTAAACATGCACCCTTTCCATTAACCTAAACACTCGTAGGCAATGATATCCCTCTATAATATATAGTGGTTTTTCATGAAATTTTGAACATTTCAAATTCTTTGCATTCTCCTTAATTATAGCTAGGGGGTAAATTTGTAAGTTCAATTTAGAACTTAAATATCTTCTTACGTGAAAAAATGTCATTACCAAGACTTGAACTCGAGTTCTTCAGTTTGATAGTCAATATCCCTAACCAACTAGACTACAAAAATGTTTATGTATTTTTTGAATTAAAGAGAGAAAATACTGAAATATCTCAAAATCATAGGACTATCCACCGCAATAATCAATCATCAAATTAATTAATAACTGTAATTATTTACAAAGTGAATCATCATGATTTACAAAAGTGTTATACAAAATTTTATTTCAAAACATAAAATTTGAAATTTGTGATCTAAGATTTTGTAACGAGACATTTTCAATGCTATAAGTGAATGACCAAAAATCATTGGCTTACAATTTCCCTAATGGTTGACAATTATAAGCATAGAATTGAAAGACTAAATACCATTGACAAATGAGCCAATTATCATTGGCTAAATTTAACAAATAATGGTATGTGTATATACATTGGAAATTAGATAGTACGCTAGATGGATTGAGGGTTATTGCATCTCCTTAGTTAAATAACATTATTTAGACCATAGATTAATCACGTAACTAAACCCCATATCATAATTCTCTAAATCCTAATATAGTGCATATGGTATGTTGTATACATCTTGGCGAATCAGGATCATTGATTA